AAACCCAGTTTCCTAAACCCTAGACCATAAACTCCGAAACCCTAAACCCTAAACCAAGTTTCCTAAACCCTAGACCCTAAACTCCTAAACCCTAAACCCTAAACCAATTTTCTTAAACCCTAGACCCTAAACTCCTAAACCCTAAACCCTAAACCCAGTTTCCTAAACCCTAGACCCTAAACTCCTAAACCCTAAACCCTAAACCAATTTTCTTAAACCCTGGACCCTAAACTCCTAAACCCTAAACCCTAAACCCAGTTTCCTAAACCCTAGACCCTAAACTCCGAAACCCTAAACCCTTAACCAAGTTTCCTAAACCCTAGACCCTAAACTCCTAAACCCTAAACCCTTAAACCCTTCAAGGAGACCCTTTGGTTCTTGGGGTTGAAGCTTTGGGTCGTAGGTTTTGGGGGTCTAATTAGGGAGTTTAGTGTTTAGGGTTTGGGGGTCTAATTTGGGAGTTTAGGATTTAGGGTTTTGGGGGGTCCAATTAGGGAGTTTAGGGCATTTTGGGGTTTGGGGGTCTAGTTAGGGAGTTGAGGGTTTAGGGGTCTAATTAGGGAGTCTAGGGTTTAGGGTTTGGGGGGGTCCAATTAGGGAGATTAGGGTTTGGGGGTCGAATTGGGGAGTTGAGGGTTTGGGTCTCACCTTTTTTTAAGGGTTTACAGTTGAAGCCGAAAAGTTGGAAACCCAATTGCTTCAGCCCTTAGGAGCAACGTTTAGGGAATGCAAGCTCTAATTGTCCTCAATCCGCGTTCCAGCTTTTTTGGGGTGTACTGAAACCCTAAACCCTACACCCTAAACGGTTTACTGTAGGGCTTTGGCTTTGGAGTCGTAGGCTCACCTACCTGCTGAACCGTAGTTTGGACACGATGCTTTGAGGGTCAGGGGCCCTTGCGCATCGTTTGACATCGGGCCAGTCGTTTCGTCGAGGGTTCCTGATTTGGGTTGTAGGCTTGTGGGGTTTTGGGGATTAGGGTCGTAGGGTTCAGGCCTTTAGGTTTTGGAATTTTGTGGGTTTGCGTTTGGAATTTTGGTTGTTGGGTGTGTTTCCACACTGCAACCACGCATGCCCATCCCTACTTGCCAAGTAGTCTGGTCTATCAAGCAAGGAACGCTGTCCAACACCGAGCCCGAAGCCTAAGCCTCAATAGGATCGCTAAAGCCTGAACCGGATGACGCAAACCGTATAGTCCGAATCCTTCAACAACACCAAGCCCATAAACTCAACAGCAAGAATAAATGCGCCAGTCAGGCCAACCAAGTAGTCCTTTGCACAATCTCGGTCAACCCAACGCTCACAGTAACCTCAGCAGTGTATAAGTCTTGCTGCGCCGGGGGTGCATTGCACATAATAGCCCTTGTAGTAACCCTTCAGTGCTTGGCACCAGATAGGGCGTGCACGGCCCATTAATGTAGTGCCTGGGCACCTCCTTAAACCACAAAACCCTACACCCTAGGCCGTGGACCCTAAACCCTAAACCCTAAACTCCAATGCGCTAGTTAGGCCAACCAAGTAGTCCTTTGCAGAATCTCTGTTAACCCAACGCTCGCAGTAACCTCCACAGCAATTATTAAGTCTTACTGCGCCGGGGGTGCATTGCACATAATAGCCCTTGTAGTAACCCTTCAGTGCTTGGCACCAGATAGGGCGTGCACGGCCCATTAATGTAGTGCCTGGGCACCTCCTTAAACCACAAAACCGTAAACCCTAGGCTGTGGACCCTAAACCCTAAACCCTAAACTCCTAAACCCTGAACCCTAAACCACAAAACCCTAAACCCCCAGGCCCTAAAACGCTAAGCCTTTGATCAAGGATGAAGCCGGCAGCAGCAGCAACACGGCGCCTCAGCGAAGACTGATGTCCTGAGCCTTTCTGGCGTCGGGCTTTTTGTTTTGTTTGGGCCTAAACCCTAAAACCCTAAACCCCTAAACCCTCAACCCTAAACCCCTAAACCCCTAAACCCCCAAACCCTAAACCACCAGGGTACGGGTAGGGCTTCTTAAGCCGCGGTGAAGGAAGGCCTAAGGTTTAGGGTTTCGGTTGGATGGGCTACGGTGTCAGGTTTGAGTTTGTGCTACATGGTCGTGGTTTAGGGTTTAGGGTTTAAGGATTAGGGTTCAGGGTTTAGGGGTTTAGGGTTTTTTGGGTTGAGGGTTTGGGGCTTAAGGTTTTGTTTACACCTTTTTTTAGTGTTCAGGCTCTTGGTACCCAAGTCCCATGATTGGGGACATCCAGAAACCTTCAACAAATGCATACATACCCCTTGCAAAACCCTAAGGGTCCATGTGCCATACAATTTATACTTTGGCCCTACAGTACCTACATAGGGAAGTCTTTAAGGCCAAAGTATATACCATATGGCCACATGGGCCGATAGGATAACCCGCTAAACCCTAAAGCCTAAACCTTACCCCCTAAGCCTTTAAGCCCTCAACCTTAAACCCAAGGCGCTTAAAACAAACCGAAACCCTGTCATACGGCCTAAACCTAAAACCCCGGTCTTTGAGAGTTTGGGGGCCACCACAAAAGCGCCCTAAACCCTAAACCCCTAAACCCGAAACCACTAAACCCTAAACCCTAAACCCCAAGCCCAAAACCCTAAACCACTAAGTCCCACTAAACCCTAAACCCCAAACCCCTAAACCCTAAATTGCCCTGTGCTCAGATCTCGGAGACGCAACTCTGGGCCGAACCTTGGCGAACTGTCGGCGTCCGGGTTCCTTAAAGGGATCTATAAGGGTTTAGGGTTTAGAGGTTTAGGGGTTTAGGGGTCAAGGCTTTAGGGTTTTAGGGTTTAGGGTTTAGAGGTTTAGGGGTTTAGGGCTTTAGGGTTTTAGGGTGTAGGGATTTAGGGTGTAGGGTTGAGGGTTTCGGGTTTAGGGTTTTCGGGGTTAGGGATTAAGGGTTTAGGGTCTCAGGGTTTAGGGTGAGGGTTCCTAAAGGGTTCTATCAGAGTTCCTTAAAGGATCTATGAGGGCTCCTTCAAGAGATTTACAAGGGTTGATTTTTGCGCCTTTAAAGTTAAGTAAAGGATCTATAAAGGGTTCCTTGAATTGATCTACAAGGGTGCCTTAAAGGGATCTATAAGCGCTCCTTCAAGGGATCTATAAGGGTTTCTCTAAGGAATCCATATCGGTTCTGTGGAAGGTTTAGGGCTCGCGGGTTGGGGGGTTGCGGAGTTTTAGACGTGTTTGGGCTTACGAGCCGCAAGGTTTCCCGAAGGACCCAAGTCCGTAAACCCAAACCCTAACCCAAAACCCTAAACCCGAACCCAAACCCCTAAACTCCAGACCCTGACCCAAAACCCTAAACCCAAAACC